CTTCTTCACCGCCTGGTGGGGCACGGGACGCAAAGTGCGACGGCGACGGGGCAGCTGGCTCAGGCCGTACATCGAGCTCCGCAGGAAGGGCACCTGGTGGCAGGGGATCGCCTTGCCCTTCGGCGATGAGTCCATGTTGTAGAGCGTGGCCCAGTGGGCGCCGAGGGCAGAGCTCTGAAAGACGCTGCCCTTCAGTCCCCTGAAGTTGTCTCTGGCCAGCTGACTGCTGAAGGGCTCCGGATGGACGTTCTCGGCCGGCGCCACGTCCAGATTCTCGCGGATGCGGAAGTAGTCGCCGGCAAGGGTCTGGGAAACGGGGTTCATCGTTGAGCGGTAGGCACAGATAATCGCTTGGCTGGAATCGTCGGCGATCTGCCGCTCGGCGGCCACCTCGTCCATAAGGGAGACCGCCTCAATGTACTTGGACTTATGCAGAAGCAGAATCAGCTGAACACTATCCGTCAGCGGGGTCTTGCACTCCCTGAGCAGCCGTAGGGCGAGCTCCTCCTCCGATTCGCGCAGGCACAGCTGGGCCAGAGCCTTGAACTGCCGGTCCTCGATGCATTGCCGGAAGAAGTACTCCAGTAGCGGCCGGCCCGTTACGTCGTCGTCATTGCGCCGGGCATAATCGAAGGCCTCGGGCATGTTCTTGCTGGCCAACAGGACCTTCAGGTGCGTCAGCGTGGAAAGCGGCCCCGGTGGCCGTCCCACCACGCTCATGGCCGCCGTGATGGCGCCCTTGGCCAGGAGAGTTTCCACCAGCAGCTCCACATGCCAGTTCTGATAGGTATTGTCCGAACACTTCGAACTCGACAGCAGTCTTATGCATTCCTGGATGGAATCAGATGGGAGATTCAAATTAAAATTTAAAAGAAATGCAACAAAACTAAATAAAGCAGTGACCAGCAGGGATCGTTGGGATTCTATTTTTTTAAATATAAATATTTAATTCGGACTTTGAATATTATTCATACAAAATCCCACTAGTAACGCTTGTTTTTAAATTTTCTTAACACAAATTTAATTTAATACTTTTTGCATCCAAAACTCATTAAATTGTAGATTGTCGCTAAAACTGATTTAAAAATAATGAATAAACAAAAAAAAAATGTATTCAAATTAAAAAAAAAATGTTTGTAAATAAATTTTGTTTTATAAAAATTCTAAATACAAATTATTTAAAATTTTTAAATATAAAAATTCAAAATGTGAAACTAATTTTTATTTTTAATTTTAATCAATTTTTTTTTAATTTGTACCTTAAAAAATTTAATTTAATGTACCATTTTTAAAATTGATTTTAGATGTTTATTTTAAAAATTAAAAAAAACCGAAGTTTCTTTTTAATTTTTATAATAAATAATTTAAAATAAGAGGTATACAATTTATTTCCAAAAAAGTGTGCATTTTTAATTTTAAAAAAATTCAATTTAGTTTACCATTTTTCACAAATTTATTTTCGAAGTGTATTTCAAAAATTAAAAAAAAACGATTAATTTCCAACAAAATTTGCAATAAAAATGTATCCTGTTCTAGGATAGCACTTGAATAAATAATGTAGCTCCCTTTTCATTGGCTTTGATCTTTTGTAAACTCATTTGCGATCTTTGGGTGACTGATTAGCTGACTTAAATGTTTGAATTGTTTGAAGAGAGAATCGAAACTTACCGAATGATCATCGTGATCCAGGGCCCAGAAGGACTTCACGCGCAACACGAGATTCTTTTTGAGACCGAATGAGGTGCTAAACCTGCTGCTGAGTTTCACTTTCGGCATATGGACATCCAGGTCGAGCAGCAAGTACAAAATGATCTCTTGCTTTTGATCCATATCGGTGTTCGGCGACAGCATCAAATTCATGATGGACTGCGTGTCTGGAGGGTACACCAGGGAAACGGGTACACCGCCGCTCTCTTGGGAAATACGCCGCAACAGGCGATCGATGTAGAGACTACCACGCCTCGACGAGCCTCTTTCTGCGTAGTCGCGTCGCATCTGCACTAGGGCCGAATGCTGCTGCCCGCCATCCTCCTTCTGTTGAAGCTGCTGGCCTTCTGGCAGCAGGCCCCACCTAATGAAGTACAGTAGCACTTTCTGGTAGGCATGGACTGTGCGGAGCATCTGTCCATTGGTCTCGATTTCGCTGAGGAGCGAATGAGCCAGGCTGCGCTTGCCCAAACTCACGATGTACGACTGCAGGCTGTCCAGATTGCCCAACTGGCCGTTTAGCAACCTGAACTCCTTGCGCTCGCGCTCGTCCAGGGGATAGCCGCCGTAGTCAAAGATGCCCTGGCACAGCTCCGAGCAGCGCACTTTAATCTGTGCGGCGCGCTTCATTATCCAGTTGGTGAGGGTCGACAGGGAGAGTGTTGTGGGATCCCGCAGGTTGCGCAGGTAGCTGCCATCGATCCAGCTCTTTGCACAATTCTTTAGCAGTCCCATTAATCCGTGTTCGAGGGCCACCGAGAGGATCTCCTCATAGATGGCCATCTAAAGAGGGAGAGAGAGAGAGAGAGACAGAGCAGAGGGATGCAAAAGGTGCAAGATAGATACTCGTAGAGTCGTATAGTCGTAGAATGGACTCTCACCTTGGAGAATGTGGCATCGGGTTGGAGCTCACTGAACTGAGGCATGAGGCGCAGGCCAACAATGTTCTTGTGTGTGTCCTCAGCCATCAAGAAGAGCGGGGCCTTCTCCGCCTGGAGGCTTCGCAAAAAGCGCCGCTGCAGCCCCTCATGGACATAGTACTGGCAGCCCCCGGCTGTTAGCAGGGAGAAATCTAAAAGAAAACATTGCATTAAGCATTTCGCCATCGCCATCGCCATCGACATCGGCATCGCCTTTGCCTTCGTACGAGTATCTTACCAAAGCTCAATGAAATGGGATAGAAATGCTCATCGTAGCGCTGCAGCGAAATGAAATGCTGAATAGTTGCGGCGTCCAGGTGAAAGCCCAGGCCTGGGGCCTGGCCAGGCAGTGAATAGCCAGCCAGAAAGTTGAACTTCTGGCTCGGGTTCAGGCAGCTGGGCATCTCGTCCTTGTACCACTGATTCATGTCGAAGAGTAGAAGCTTGTTCCCGCCCTCATTGTGCGAGTACCAGCTGAATAAGGCCAGGAGGGTGCCATTGTCGCCGTAAGAGCTGAATGAGGAGGCCGTTGAGCATCCAAGGATGGAGCAGGGGCCGCTATCGAGCAGCAGATTAGCGCATGTTGCGGTGCTCCTAAAGTTCTGTGGAATAGAATGGGACGAGTTCAAAGAGGGGCACGGCCTGAGAGGCGGAAATATTTGGGCTTACCTTAAAGAGGATCTCCTCGCTTTCGTCATCCGCATAGGAGTGGCTGTAGTGGATGGAATGGAGGACGGTGGTAATATCGGTGGCCCCACCGTACATGCCGAATACGAAGAGGCAGGGCTTGGGATCATCTCGTGGCACTACGCAGCAGAGTCGCTCTACACTGGCCACCTCGAACCCGGGAGGATGAAGTACGGCGGTGATATGGAAACTATCCAGATCGTAGATCACAATGCGGCCATCCTTGAGGCCAGCGGCAAAGCCAGTGATGAAGTTAACAGATATAAGGCAGCGCACCTCGCTCTTGCCCACTATGCCACATGAGCATCAAAGAAGTGACATTAGAAACACAAACACAAAGAACACATTCAACACACAAAGAACTCACCATCCACCTCCACTGCCAAGTGGCCATTGCAGTCGAGGCTGCATTCCTGTTCTTTCAGCCAAGTATTGATGGCGTTCGTGGAGCACTCGGAGGATTGCCTTCGGACCACCTGCCCACAAGTGATCTCACTCTGCGGCAGTCTAATGTTTTGACTGCGATTTTCCATCAGAATGTTGCATTTTATGTCGCACAGCAGAACGGCCCCCTCATTAGTGCCCACCGCCAGGCAGCCATCAAAGTTGCGAAGACGCGTGCGCTGGCACATCTGGGTGTCCAGAAACGTGAGGGTGCTGCAGTAGAGGCCGTCCAGATCGATGCAGCGAAGCACCTGATTGTAGGCTGTCGAGAAGATGGCAATCTGTGTGATGGCGTTGGCACAGTTCTCGGGCCGGCTTTCCTTATCGTTCCACGTCTCCAGGCAGACGGCGAGCCATTTCGTTCCGTCTTTTTGGCCAGGGAAGAGCTCCTCCACACAACTGATGCTGCAGCGCTGGCTACTTTCGGCCTCTTCTCTCCAGAATATGTGACGCATAATGCACTTGCCCGCCCTCAGCGAACAGATCAACAGAGTGGCATCGTTTGAGTATCTGTTTGTGATCCATCCCCACTTGCCGCCATTGATGATGCCGCCACCAAAGTTATCCGCTGCAGGGAGGCAGGATTAGGAAAACACCGGCAAACGAATGGCGAGCATGAAAGTGAAAATCACAGACTGTGGCTCGTGGACCGCGTCACCCGTCGCGCTATACTTACGATGGTCGTCACTCTGATGGCCGTAGCCAGGAATTGCGCGCTCTGGAAATCCCGAGCTGCGTCTTTCATCTGCATCAATTTCGTACCAATTCATGTTTCACTATATCATTAGCTGGCAAATTCCGCAACATCAATGGCGATATGCGATTTTGTGTAGTGCCGGTGTTGTTTTTTTCACGTTTGACAGTTAGCAGTGTTGGATAAAACTCCGATTAAATTGTCAAATTCCGATTAAATTTGCAAATTCCATATGTTGTGGATTTTGCAGTGCTTGCGACATATTAAAAGTATAGTATATATATATTTATAAAAATAAATATATCGAAAAAACATCTGAAGACCATAGTCAATTTTAGAGGAATTAAATGCGCGAAAATAATTTTTAGGCGGGTTTCGATAACACCCTAACGATTGTAGGATTGCGAAAATATCGAGCTATTGATGGGAGCCACGGCGCAGCAAGTGGTGGGAGCTTTTCGATTGTCAACCCTGCCGACCCTGTGCGATTTGCTTGCACATTGTTCTAACACGAAATCGAACCTAGCCGGAAAAAGGCATTTCAGTTTTGAGTAGGCTATCTATATATAATTCAAATGTGAAATACTTGCCATTCAACGAGGTATTTACTGGAGCAAACGGGCGATCCCAATTTCATATCCCTTCCAAAATCATCAGTACGTACCCAAGTGAAGCGAAGAGAAGACAACGGGCCACAACTACAGGCCGACGGCGAGAGGCCACAACAACAAACACACATTGCAAAGCACACAGCTCTGCTCTTCTAATCGCAAAACGTTGTCTGGCGCTGCCTGGCCCTAACCGCACCGCATTGGGGGAAAAAAACGAAAGAACGAACCGACGAAGAGACAACAACAAAGAGGCAGCCAAAACAGCAGCAGAAGGAACGGGGCGCCAAATACCGAGCAGAGGGCAGGGGCAAGCAGAGGTAAGTCACATTTGCCAATTGAAATTAAAGTCAAATTAAAGCTGGGCTAAAGAAATCACATGCTCTGCTCTATGGAGACTGCAACTGAATGAATATACATATACCCTTTCCCTTTCTTTCGTTTTCGTTTTCGCATTCGCTTTCGCTTCCACTTCCACTTTACACAGAGAGGCAGCCACAGCTACAGCTACAGCTAGCGATGGCACACCAGGCAGGCACAGAGGCCTTGGCTGCCGAACTGGCCAAGGCTGTGGAGGTGATAATGCATCCCATGACGCAGCAGAACTCTCGACTGGAGGCATACATGGCCTGCGAGCGATTCAAGGAGGAGTCGCCGCTGTGTGCACAGGTCGGCCTCTTTCTGGCCGGCTCGCCCCAGTTCAATCAGCAGGTGCGCCACTTCGGCCTGCAGCTGATCGAGTACACAATCAAATACAAATGGAATTGCATCACCCACGAAGAGAAGGTCTACATCAAAGACAATGCCATCAAGATGCTGAACATCGGTGTGGGCCCCGCGGAAGATCGCTCTCTGATGCCCCTGAAGAATGCCCTGTCCAAGATCATTGTCGAGATGATAAAACGCGAATGGCCGCAGCAGTGGTCGGACCTGCTGCCCGAGCTTAGCCAGGCCTGCACCAATGGCGAGGCCCAGACGGAGCTGGTCCTGATGGTCTTTCTGCGTCTGGTCGAGGACGTGGCCCTGCTGCAGACCATCGAGTCGAATCAGCGCCGCAAGGACATGTACCAGGCCCTCAACAACAACATGAACGACATCTTCGAGTTCTTTCTGCGGCTCGTCGAGCAGCATGTGACGGCCTTTCGCGAAACCACGCGTCTGGGCAACTTTCACAAGGCCAACGCCCACAGCCGTGTGGTGGAAATGGTACTCCTCACTCTCAGCGGGTTTGTGGAGTGGGTCAGCATCCAGCACGTGATGTCCAACAATGGCAAACTGATGCATTTCCTTTGCATTCTACTGAACGACAAAGCATTCCAGAGCAATGCGGCCGAATGCCTCGCCCAGATCACCAATCGCAAGGGCCAGGCCAAGGAGCGGAAGCCCCTCATGCAGCTGTACAACGAGGAGCCGCTGCGCTACATCTTCTCATCCAGCCAGATACCGGCCGACACTAGTTCCTCGCTGGCCATCGAGCAGCAGCACTTGTTCCTCAAGAAGCTGCTGGCGGTGCTCAATGGCATGAACCAGCAGCTGGTGGCGCTGTGGGGCAAGGACGAGTCGACACAGCGTCCAGTGCATTTGGAGATAATGCTCGAGTGCCTGCTGCTGCTAGTGCAGCATCCATCGCTGAGCGTCGCCCATGGAGCCGCACAGATCTGGCAGCTGTTGCTCAAGCATGAGCTCTGCTCGAAGGACTTTGCCATGATCAACTACATTCCCAAACTGATCCACACTATTGCCCCGAGGATTGTGAAGCTGCCGTATCCGCCGGCCAGCTCGCCCACGAGCCTCACCACAGAGTCGTACATCCGCATGGACTACGACAGCGAGGAGGAGTTCACGCTGTACTTTTTTCGCTGCCGCACCGACTTCCTGGAGATCTTTCGCCTGGCCACCCTCGTCCAGCCCCTGATCACGTACGGCTTCTGCGAGCAGTGGCTGCAGTCGCGGCTCCGCAATGCCGTCGCCGAGAGCGCCGGGATGTCGTGCAGCGTACTGGATCCTGTCTACCTCGAATGGGATGCCCTCGTGAGTGTACTGGACGGTGTGCTCAGCCGCATACTGCTCGTCTCGGAGCGTCCGTCGGTGCCGGCCGGCCTGCGCCTGCTGGAGGATTGCCTGAAGCTGGAGACCACCAATCCGCTGATCTACTCGATCTTGTTGTCCTGCATATCGGCCCTGTTCGTCTTTCTCAGCATGTCCTCGTGCCAGATAACCTCCAACAACTGTGTGGCCATGAACGGAGTCACCCTGTTGCCCCGCGTCCTGGACAAGATCTTTCGCGCCCTCGTCCTGAAGCCGCCCAACGAGCTGGAAAAGGTGCAGGTCAAGTCGGCCAAGAATCTGCGCCGCCATGCCGCCTCGCTGCTGGTCAAGCTGGCCCACAAATACCCGCTGCTGCTGCTGCCCGTCTTCGATCAGATCAACAATCACGTGCAGCTCCTGCTGAAGGAGCCCAACCGGCATCAGCTGTGCCGCGTGATGCGCACCACCCTGCAGGAGGCCCTGATCCTCATCTCCAATCACTTTTGCGACTACGAACGCCAGACGGCGTTCATTGAGCACATCGTGCTGGAGAAGCGGTCCGAGTGGATCTCCTTTGAGGAGGCCTTCAAGTCGGCGCTGCACTTTATGCGCTTCGTGGGCCTGGACAAGCCCCCCGTCTTTGCCATTGACAGCGATCCCTCGATTCCGAACCGGACGCGAATCATAGACGCCCTGCATGTGGTTCTGGGCGTTGTCAAGCGGTGCACATGGCCCGACGATCCGGACCGGGCACAGCGCGGCGGCTTTGTGATCGCCTGCACCGAGGTGGGGAATCCCATTTGCCGCAATCCGGCCACCAAGCATGTGGTGCCGGTGCTCTCCCACGTTCTCACTTTGATGCGTGTCCTCAACGAGATGTTCACCCCCGAGGCGTTGGCCGCCCTCTCCGAAGGATACCGCAACATACACGGCATGCTCGAGCACGAAAAGAAGCTGCTGATGGGCATCTGTGCCCTGCCAGCCGATCCCCTGGACACCACCATCAAGCGGGAGCCGACCGCCTTCGAGAAGATGCAGACATTCATGATGCTGGTCACGGAGGGGTGCTACCATCTGATGGGCTCGGCGGGACCATCGCTGGGGCGCGATCTCTATCAATTGAATGGCATGGCAAATGCCATCATCACGAATGTCTTTAGCTGCATGGACATCATTCCGGACTACCGCATGCGCCCCATTATCCGGGTGTTCTTCAAGCCCTTCGTCTACTCCTGCCCGCCCATCTTCTACGACGACGTGCTGGTGCCCTTGTTCGCGCATCTGACGCCGCTGATGTGCGAACGCCTCACCAGACGCTGGCTATACATATCATCTCTGTACGAGAGCGGTCAGCTCACTGGCGAGGTCAATGATACCCAGGAGGTGCTCGAGGATCAGCTGAACCGCACCCTGACGCGTGAGTATCTCGATGTCTTGAAGATAGCGCTGGTGGGTGGCCAGATCGGGTCCGATCATGTGGCCTCTGGCGGCGGCGGCGGCACCGCCAATGTCGTGGCCATGGAGAACGAGGAGCACTCGATGGACAGTGCCCCCCAGTCGCGGGCCTCCCAGTCGGCCCTCCTCTCGGACATAATCAGCGATCTGGGCGGGAAGCTGCTGCGCAACGGCCTCATCGGCAACTACATCCTGATGACCCTGCTGAAGGCGATCGCCTGGAACGATGGCATGGTCAACATGAAGGCCGTCAATATAGCGGCCCCGGTGATGCGCTTTCTGGCCGCCGAACATCTGATGGACGAGAACAAGGCGGTGAGCGCCTTCACGGCCGTCCTCCAGGGCATGCAGGTGCATGGCCAGCACGAGGCCAACCAGTCCGGCCTGATCACATTGGGTGTGCAGTTCTACGAGCTGTTGCGCCCCAAATTTCCGATCCTCAGCGAGGTGCTACAACACATTCCCAGCGTGAATGCGGCCGACATTCAGAAGTTCGATGAGAAAACCGCCGTGGCCCCCGTCAAGGGGAACAAGGTCGATCGCGCCAAGAAGGATATATTCAAGAAGCTGACGGCCCAGCTGGTGGGACGCAGTGTTAACCAGCTCTTCCGCCATGAGGTGCAGATCGCCAATCTGCCGCCAATGCAGCCGCACAAGCTCAAGTCCACGGGCAACAACATCATGGACAGCAATCAAAACGCCAATCTGACCAAGCTCTTTGGTTCGGATAAGTGACAGGGGCCGAGGAGGAGGAGAAGGAAGCCCCGCGGCAGCGGAGGAGGAGCAGCAGCCGCCGCCGCCGTACCCTTTGCCGCCACCAAGCACATCAACATCGAGAACATCAACAGCAACACCAACAGCACCACCACAAACGCCTCAGCCGTGGCCACAGTTCCAGTTCCAGTCCCAGTTGCCGAATCGGGTACGGGTACGGGCACGGGCACGGCCACGGCGACCTCGGCTGCCAAACTAGCGACGACTGAACTTAAAGTAATAGTTAACTAGCTAAGAAGATGGAGCCGCTGTTGCTCTCCGTCTCCGGAGAGGAGGAAGCGCGCGTGAAACAGATGGCGGCGCATCCCAGCCACAGCCCCAGACCTCAGACCCTAGACCCCGCCTCGCCCCCAGTCCAGTCTTTAAAACAAAAGCAAATTTTAATTATATTTATTTATTATATTAATTATCTGTTAAATTAGTTTAGTTAGGTCCCAGCGCCCAGTCCCCCATCCCAGCCCAATCCATGCGCCACGCCCCAGCCATCGCTCCTATATATATTTTTGTTTGTAAATCATGCAGTGAAGAAGGGACTTGTCCACTGCCTTGTTATTTATTATTCGGAATTTGTTAAATTTGCCTGCACAAAGACAGAGAGGAGAGGAGAGGAGAGGAGAGGGAAGTCGGATAGGATGGATAATACCAATTGCCAATACTCGAAAAACGCTTACGTACAGCCATTAAGCCCGGCCCTTTAATCCGCCTGTGCCTCACACACACACACACAAACACTTTTTATATATATAGGCAAAAAATGATGAATGAATTTGTCCTCTTACCCCGGTTCACCCCCGCAACCCCAGCCCCACAGCCCCCACCCCCTTTGTATAATAGAGTTTACCTAAATTTCAATGTGCATAATATATGCCTATGTATATTGTAGTTTATATACATACATGCATATGCAATATATATATATATATGGATATGTATATATATATTGCACTACTTATGAAAGGAATACTTATGAAATTACGCTTAGGCTTAGTTGATAGGCAACGATTACGAATTATTATTATTATTATATAATATAATATATCAAATTGTATATGAAAAGAACCCATAAACACACACATCCCCCCACCCCACCCCTCTCCACACACAGATAGGGATTCCTAAAATCGAGTTGCATGCAGTATATATGTTTAATATTCCTGGGAATATTACATATATATATATATATATATTATTTATAACTAAATAAAATTGAAGCACGGAATAGCAGCCCCCATCTTCATTCCCATGCCCATGCCCAAAACAGAAACACACAAAATCGAAATAAGATACAAAAATTTGAAATAAATTTACAAATTCGAAGAGTTCCCACTCATAAGCTTCAATCGGGGGATATGTGGGGATGACGTGTAAAGGACGAAAGATCTCGTGGAGCTTCGAGAGGAATCCATCTCAACGCATATAGAAATGGTGGCTTGCTGCCCTTCAAGGACTTTAAAAAACATCTTTTAATGGTATATATTATAGAATATCTTCCATCTATTTAGTCTACGTAATACAGATAAAATCCAAATGAATATTTTAAATAATTTTCGCCAAGCGCCTCCCTTTGCCACCCTCTTTATGAGCCCGCATGCCGATTATCACAGAGATTGCTCCAGTCGGGGACATGCTCGTTCTTCAGGTACGTCTCCTTGGCCAGGGATCGTGTTTGGATGAGATCTGTGGCGCCACACAGGGCGCCTCCCAGCCAGGCGGTGAAGTTCTGCTTGCCAATGGAATAGAAAAACTTGAACTGCAGATTACCGTGAAAGCGCTCGGCGTAGTAGGGATCGTTTTTGAGGAGGTGCTGCAGCTCCTGCTGGAGGCGTGGCAGCATGCCCTGGACCATGGAGCCGCCGCCGATGAGGAATATGCTTTCGACCAAGGGCTTCCTAGCGTCCAGGGTGCAGTCGAGAATGGAGCGCAGTATGAGATGCGGCAGGCTGTCGCGCTCGTTGTTCGGCTCGAACATTATCTCGTAGACGGTCTCGCGAAGGGCGCCGGGCACCTGGACCATCGTATCATTATCACAGATGATGTAGTCAACGCTGGGCGGAGGCGTCGGCTGATTTTCGTCCCCGTTGGAACGACAATGGGCCCGCTCCATGGTGGTCACAAAGCACGTACGTACTTTGATGTCCTCAAGGACGCTCTCTGTGAGCAGAGATTCCTTGACGCCCGTCTCCAGCAGCTGCCGTTTTATTTCTGCATGAATGGCACTGCCTCCATAGCTTTGGTCCTTGAAGGCGGACATGATTTGAACTCCACTAAAGACTGGCATGATGCTAGTCTCGCTATACCCAATGTCCACGACCACGGCAGTGGCCACAGCCAGCGTCGACAGCGCTATAAGATGAGCCGGCACAAACAGAACCGATGAGACATCGAAATGGACAAAGAGTGCCCGCGCCAACGTCTCCCTGACCACCGTCTGGCCGAAGATGTTCTCCACCACCACGAACTTTCGCTCCTTGGGACTGACCAACAGGTGCCTAGAAACGGTGTAACAAATGGTTAGTTTAGTTCTGTTTTACGCATAATATCGATTTGTTCTACTTGAAGAATATCGTCTGCAAAAAGTCTACGATTTGGTCGTAGAGTTCCTCCTTCCGTTCATAGTCAAATAGCCGCTTCGTTTTCCCCGTCGTTGTCAGTACAACCTCCGTGGGCATGATTTTCCGTGGATACGACTCCCCAGCAAAGCCCAGCCTTCAAACATAGACAAGGAACAGACGCCAATGATGATATCATCTACAACAGAACAGAACAGTTTGTCCATCTCATTGCTTTACTCACTTTGTGTAGGCATTTCCAATGTCCAAGACGATTGGGGGCTTATCCTGCATAACACTCTCGTAGATGGGCATCTTGAGGAGCTGGTTTCTGCCGATTTGAAGCTATTTTAATTGCGATTTGATTGAGGGTACGTGCCAAATGGCATATGTAAGGTGCAAGCAGGCGGTGCTGTAAGGCGCAACAGTCTACGGTGGCGACTATACAGTCCTGAATTGCAAGTACAAATATACAATTTGAGTGATTATTACTTTATTTTAATTAAATTAATCCTAGTATTTGATGAAAGGCAGTAATTAACATTATTTCATTCAACCGCACTGCAAAATAATTATCTTATTTTAAACGCGCAATCTGGTGCTGTTAAGCGCACAATTTATTTATTGCGCGCACAAAGTTCTCTTTATATGTAACATCCCATGTATCGATAACAGAATCTGCATCAGCTGTCGCAGCAAATCGCAGATTTACCACCACTAATCAATATCAACATTTCTGGTCGTCAAAACAAAGTTTTCGAATATTTGAATTTCTTGCTGCTTTGAGTAATAGAAACAGTAAAACGCAATGAGCTACATACAATTTGAAAGTGGCAGCGACAAAGAAAAGGCTCGTCAGCAGATAAGGGAAGCCCGCGCCGAGATGCTCGAACAGGCCAAGGAGAGAGCCGGCCTTATCAAGAAGAAGGAGCTTCAGAAGGAATTAAGGGGTGAAAGCAATTGGATGCTTCCAGCAGTGGCCAAGAAACTGGACAAGCCCTCAAGTTCCTCAACGAAAAAGGCCAAGAAGAAGAAAGGAAAGCACAAATCGAAGTCCAAGTCTTCGAAGGTAAAAAAATCTTCGAAGAAAAAGAGCAGGAAGGTTCAGAGCAGCAGCGACAGCGATAGTGACAGTGACAGCGACAGCGACAGCTCTAGCTCTTCCTCTTCGTCCTCATCCAGCGAAGACCAGAAGCAGCGCAAGGTACGCAAGAAAAAGAAGTCTAAAAGGAGCCACAACGAAGATGAGTGGGTGGAACGCACTCCCCTTTTGGATAACGATACGAGCAAGGATAAGGTGGAGGATACACCAGTGGCGCGCGACACTTGGATGACCAGTGACGACCTTTTGCTGAAAACCTTCTCCAGAATACGCAAGGAGCCAACCAAACCCAACGACAAGCTACAGCAGATCGATGCCTATGATCCGGCTAAGAGCGGACGCGAGCTGAATCCCTACTGGAAGAGCAATGGCACAGGCCTGCCAGGCTTCCAGAAACCACAGGACGATGATGATCGCGAGGCAGAGCCACATTCGCACAGCTCGAGGCAAAGCTCCTCGACACGAGGCTGGCAGAAGCCTTCTTCCAAGTCGCATAGCCATAGAAGTAGCCCCTCCGCGCCGAGAACCAGATCTTCTTCAGAAAGTGCCTCATCTGATGAAGATACTGCGGACAAGGCTGCTGCCCTTCCTGCCTGCCTAACGGACGAGCAAATCAATGAATTGGCCGGAAAAGCCATCAAAGCAGAGATCATGGGGAATACGGAGCGTGCAGCAGAACTCAACCAGCAGCTGGAAGAAGCACGCAAAGTACGGGCCGACTTCCTGGCCACTGGCAACATGCCGCCTAAGACATCCGCCATGCCAAAGAAATCCAAGGCATCATCCTCATCCTCGGAACATGTGCTGCTCACCAAAACCGATCAATGCGGCAATGTACGCCCCCTGGTGCAGTCCACATCAGGCACAGCCACAGACCCCAACTCGCTATATGGAGGCCGCAGGGGTCAAAAAAGCCGCAACAAGAAGGTCGACACCCATGTGGATGGCCAACGGGTGAGATACTTCGCAGACGACGATCGTTACGACATCAAGCAGATGGTAAGATTGATCCAAACATAGCTCTAAGCATCCGGCTCTAATCGTTTCTGCTTTGTTTCTTTTTTAGTTTGAGCGTGAGAAGCATGCCACGGCCGCCGAATCGAACCTGCAGTACGCTGACATTGTGTCGAAGCACAAGAACCCCAACGATGACCTGGAAGACATATTTGCGGACAAGGTTCGCAAAAATATCTCCGAGGCAGATCTCGAGAAGCGAGAGCTCCAGAGTGCCATACGGGAGGCCAACAGGCTGGAGACCAGCCTGACGAATTGTGAACGCTGCTTCGACTCGCCGAAGCTGGAAAAGCAGCTGATGGTCTCGATGGGGAAGATGATCTACCTCAGTCTGCCCTGGCATGTGGGTCTGCAGGGTGGCCACTGCATTCTCACCACCCTGCAGCACATCTCCTGCTCCACGCAGCTGGACGAGGATGGTTGGGAGGAGCTGAACGACTTTCGAAAGGCCCTAACCCGTATGTTTGCTGCCCAGCGCAAGGATGTGATATTCTATGAGATTGCCAACAAACTGCACAGGCGACCGCATATTAGTGTGCATTGCATACCCATACCCGACAGCCAGGGCGAGATGGCACCCTTCTACTTCAAGAAGGCCATTGAGGAGTCGGAGCAGGAGTGGTGCATCAACAAGCAGCTGGTGTCGCTGCGCAATAAATCGCTGAGAGCAGTCATACCCAAGGGTCTCCCCTACGTCTGGGTACACTTTGGCATGGACTCGGGCTTTGCCCATGTCATCGAGGATGAGGATCGTTTCCCAGCGAATTTCGCACAGGTTAGAGATAGATGGATACTGTATAAAACTGATGTACTCAACTGATATTTACTTTCAGGAAATTATTGGTGGAATGCTTGAACTGAATCCAAGTACTTGGCGTAAGCCGCGTAAGGAGCAGCAGTCTATCGTGAAAGTGAAATCGTTTGCCGAAAGCTGGAAAAAATTCGATTGTACCGAGGAAGCTTAAGCTGCAAATCGAGCAAAATTAACGTCCGTTTCTCGCTAGTCTCGTTGGTCAATCTTTGCATTCCTGCAGCTCTTTGTTAATTATATGTTGGCATAAATAAACTAAAATTCGTAATTGACAAAAGCGAATCGATATCTCGACAGTGCAACTCTTGGTTATCAACTCTGGTGACAATACTCTTTGCATATCGGGTGGCAGCGCTGTCAGAACGAAAAAGCGCAGCCAACTTCGCGCGCCTTGTTCTTTTTTCCGGTTGACTTTAACAAGAAAGGTTGTGCCCGAGTTTCTTTTAAGTGAAATTAAATTTTTTTATGTTTAAAATGCAACAAACTAAATAAAAATGTGCGCCCAATCGGGTGGTGAATGAAGTAACGAGCTAAATGGCCAAGATTCTGTGACATTTCTACGAAACACTCGATTGTAGCAAATCAGCGTGGATTCGCAGTTTTTGTTGTGTCTCTCTCTATTTGCTTGAGTGTGTGTGCGTGTGCGTGTGCGTTGTGCATGGCTCCCGATGATGGGCAGCTAGAACGTGTTTTCGACGGCGATTCTTATTGTTCGTTTTTAATTGTATTTCAGATGCCAGGTGTCACAGTAAAGGATATTGACCAGCATGCCGTTACCAAGGCGGTTGCCGTCTTCCTCAAGAAGTGAGTACGAACATCAACTGTTTCCAACACATAACCTCACAATTGTTTTGTTTGTGTATGGTCTCGCAGGACTGGCAAATTGAAGGTGCCCGACCAGATGGACATCATCAAGACGGCCAAGTTCAAGGAGCTGGCCCCCTACGATCCCGACTGGTTCTACGTGCGTTGCGCCTCGATCCTGCGCCATCTGTATCACCGCAGTCCCGCTGGTGTTGGCTCCATCACCAAGATCTATGGTGGTCGCAAGCGCAACGGTGTCCACCCTTCGCATTTCTGCCGTGCCGCTGACGGTGCCGCCCGTAAGGCTCTCCAGGCCCTCGAGCACGCCCGCCTTGTCGAGAAGCACCCAGAGGGTGGTCGCAAGCTCAGTTCCATCGGACAGCGTGATTTGGATCGCATCGCCAACCAGATTGTGGTCAAGCAGCGCGATGCCGCCAAGCAGACGGGTCCCCTTGTCATTTCCAAGTAAACGTGGATCGCACATCCAATCGAAGTCTACAACATTTTTAAGCTTATTATTTAAGCGTTTCTTGATTGAAGCGTGTTCTCAGAAATGGGAAAATTAAAATGAACCATAACAAGCGAAAAACCGATGTGTGCCACTTATTGTTTTGACCAAATAACCGAACCTTCACGTCCCTTTTCAAACTCAGTTCTGAAGGAGTTCAATTTGTGCCGCCTGATTGGAAATGCTGGGATATCTTCTGCCAATTTGGGTACCTATATCGACTTGAAACGCAATATCATTGGTCTAAGTCTGGTTTAAGATGCTTGTAGGTCTAATCCCTTATCATGCTTGCCCTGCAGCGTCGCGAAATGGGCAAGGGAATTCATCGGTCCCTATTTTTGTGGGACATATATTTATGTTTGTCTTAATTTAGTTACGATCTTTGCATCTTTTTTGAAGGTATACCAGTGCGTGATGTTTGTACAAAAATGAATACTATAAATTATTGCTCAAGTGCAATACCGTCAGATTTAGCCGGTATTTCTGAAGGTATACAGTGGTGTCGGTGCGTTAGATCCTGTCTTATGCTTCGACCATGACAATGCTGTTGCCGCGTATTACCAGAAATTGGACTCCAGCCATGCACACCATTCATTTCTGAAGCGTGTGGGAATTTATGCAAGCTTATAAGATTGGTACCAGACAATATATCTATCTTCCCAACATTCCGATGTGATGGTGGTTTTCGTGTTGTCCTTGCACACCTCAACGGCTTCGTCTATAGCTATTCAAAGGAGTATGCCGGTGATGGAGCGTCCTCCACTTAACTTAAGCATCATCCGCTGGTCAATGTACCTAAGCCACAAGATGCAGCACAAATGTGTATTACGCTAAATTTCGTACGTAAACACACATACTTTTTTGCAGCTCCAGAGGATGGGCCTTTGAAATTTTTTGTGATAAATATAAGGCTAAAGACAAAATTGAAAATCGAATTAAACAAACCACGATAATCAAAATACATTGCTGCAACACGTCTTTGTGATTGAGATAATCGATCTGGTTTCTTTTGAGCTGGTCACACGGTTCCAGTTCCGGTTCGCATTCGTTCTACCTCAAATACATGGCAGAAAAAATAAATGATTATGCTTGCACGATACATTTTAATATTTAATTCCTCCTGACTAATTTCTCATTGTATTTTATTGGAAACCTGTGTAAGCAACTCCACTGTCGATTTGTGTGTTCCGATTACTGGGACGTTATCGAGCCGCGGTCTATTGAACTGGTTCAATTTGGACCGAAACAACTCTAATCAACATCCGCGCAACTGTTGCAGGCTAACATTGAAAGAAGTGCAACGCGTAGCGTCTAATTAAAATTAATTTCGATAATTGATTGATTTGGCCGCAGCCAAGTCCGAGAAATTGCCAAATTGGCGGACAAAATAGGCGCCTTTTTGCCGCCCTCGTCTCCCTTTGAGTGACGCACGTCGGTGTTCACCGTGCCTTGTTATTGTTGTTGTAGCATTTGCTTTTGCTACGTTCGACGTTCCGACGAAAAAAAGTGTGTTTGTATTTGTATACGTATACATATCAGTGTGTGTTTCGCGTGTGTGTGTGCGCGCGCTTGCCAGTGTGTGTGTGTGAAAAGGTATCGTAAAAATGTACAACAAATGAAAAGTCGAAAACATTGAACAAGCCCCATAGATTTTCGTTGCTGCCTCCATCGGTCCAGGCCAGAAGACTATGTGCCTGTGCCGTGCTTGTTCCTGTGTCAGTGCCAGTGCCCTTGCCCGTGCCCCGTGCCAAAGGCAAAGCCAAAGCCAGTTCCCGTTCCCGTGCAACTGTTGCATGCTGAATCGCGCCGCGCAGCATTGAGCCAAGCCGAACCGAGAACCAAGGCCAATACCCATCCAAGGCACCACGCACCGATACCACCGGAGCCCCCACTAGGAGGACTTTGCTAAATCCTGATCTTACCTCTGGAACTGTGCTGCGCACCTGAAGCACTGAAGCAAAACTTACAAAATTTACTAAATTAAGACCCAACGAACTAGGCTAAGTGCTTGCACACTCTAACACGCAACTGGGAAGCCGTGAGCTCGCGGTGACCCCGCCAGTGTGTCGTCCGTATGTGGCGTTGGCGGTACTCCAGCAAAAGAACTCAGCACCGCCGAATCCCAATTCCCAAGTGGATGTGGTTTGACAGCAGTGAACAAACAAACAGCAAGCGACGCTCGTGACCTCATCGTCAGTAACGGCAACGATCAACAGCGGCAGCTTAAAGCGTGCCCCCCCCTACCTACTCACTCACACTCCCACAAATACTGATCCTCCTGCTGTTGTGAGACCCTCAAAAAAAGGTAAAATTCGATTTCTAAGGTTTGATAATAGTACGCGAGTAGTACCATAAATAATCCAAAATTTTCGACACCTTTGCAGGGCAACGAGAGCGGCTCGTCGGCGGGACTATACAGGTGAGAGGCAATCTCCACCATTATCATATCCCGTATAACTGCCATTACTCATTCCGATTCTGTTGCGAATTAATTTGCAGGAGCACAGCAACGGCTGTATGCTTGGTGGTGACCACAACAACGACGGCAACTATCCAACTGGGACGTTCTAGCCATGGATGTGGAAAGGCGGCGTCGGTGAGTGAGAACGTGCACGAGATACTACGCTGCGCGTTTGCCAGATACGATACAATACGAGATGAGAATGAGATGGCGACCCAAAAGCGACTGCGCTACACTCAATTAATTGTCACCTGAATTGAATGGCAGCCATAGATTTGTTCGATTTGTTAGGCAGCAAATTTTGAGCTTTGCAATGGCAAAACAACAAAATAGCTAAAAAGTAATAGACCGCGCTGGCAGCAAACACCTTCCATAATCTCATGTTCAAAGCGACAGCGACAGCGACAGAGCGGCAATCAAATTGACAAGCGAGTGAACAAAACGGGGGGCGACTTTATAATAAATTTGCCATTTTCGCATTAAAATTTGTAACCAAACCGAACCGAAGCGGGCCAGCAGCGGCTATTGCTGCTGCTGCTGCTGCCGCTGCCGCTGTTGTTGCACAGGCACGGGCAGTGTTGTGTTGCATCGGATGCGTGAAGCGTGCGTTTTTATCGTTTGGTCCAAAGCCAAAAATCAAGACTAGCACCAGGACCCCAATACAATACCCACCATTAACCATACCGCTGAAAATCCCAGAGGGCGAGGGCATGTGGCCATGGCGAATGCCGGCCGCACTCCATTTGAGCGAGCTGGAACGGTATGTTGCTCTTGCTCTCCACGCTCACGCTTCCACATTCATATCCCCATCCACATCCACACCCACTTCTATTCCCACTTGCACTCCCCACTCCCTCTCCCACCAACACCCTCGGGCCTCCTGTAACAGTTTCACGGAAGCTTTCGGACTGCCTGCGATGCATATAAATTCTTCAATTTTATTACTCATTTTCCGCCATCCACTCAATTCTCCTACCCAAAAAGCTATCTCTGGTTTGCTCCAAGTACAAATAAGTGAACAAAAACAACAAAATGTATATATATGTATGAACATATGTGTACGTATATTGTACATACATATATTTGCGTAACAAGAAAAGCAGAAATTTGCTAAACGGCAATTGGCAATTGGCAATTGCAGTGTGCGCATTTGGTCGTAAAGCCTCTATAAAAACTAATTGCAAAAATTAATTCTGTGTGAAAGAGATTCGGTAGGGGAACGCAAAAAATGCGCCCAACCACCCCCGCGCTTTCAACGCGAGAGATCGTATCCCGTATGCTATATCCCGTTCGTTCAGCGTTCTTTTTCCGAAAAGCTCCGAAGCCTGGATTGAAGCTTTCAATTTGTTCGTACGATTAAACGTACGGGTAAAATGCTTTCCAGCTTATTTGGAAGACAACGTATAAATTAAATTGAAAATTATATTGTCTATAGGTGACGATAATGTTGTCGTCGTTGCCATTGTTGTTGCTTTTGCTGTTGCTGTGATTATGTATTATTATGATTGTTGCTTTTGTTGTTAATAATAATGTTGTTGTATTTGTTGCTGGCATTCGCCGCTATGGCTAAAACAGCGCAGCGTTTTTTTTTTGTTTTGAAAATTCCACTTTCCCAAAGTTGTTTGCGTTTGTTGTTGTTTCTGTTGGCCGTTGCTTGAATTTGTTGTTTTTGTTTTTAGCTTTTCTGTCATGCCGTAAGTGGCGATGATGAAATCACAACAATTCAAACACCTTTTAGTATCAATTTTTTTTAGCGCCGACGACTGTCATCGGTACCGACTCTTGGCTTGGCTTGGCCTGGCCGCCCCCTCCATACCTCCAAACCTCGATGCTCCTCAGGCTCTATTCTCATCTCTCTGTACCGACTGCCTTGTGCAAATATTTGCCTCTCGTTTTAGCTAATTGAATTTAAGTCTAAGGGTGTAACGAGATAGCAAATTCCATGACCTATAATAGCGTAAGATCCTTCCAGGGCGAGAGCGCTTTCCCATGCTGTGCGCATGTGTTGGGGAGTAAAGCACGGTATACGAATGTAGGGCAAGGCATTCCGACTATCCGAGTAATCCGGGCTATGCGACTGGCTAATCAATTGAGGCACTTTCGGACTGGCCTTACCTTATTTTCGCTTAGCTTGGAGCACTCAGTGGAGTAGTCACACGCATTCCCTCTTGTCTTCTTTCCAGCCTTGCCAAATGTTGATCTCTTATTTTCATACATGCATATGTATGTATGCTTGCATGTATGTATGTGCATGTGCATCTGCATCTGCATGTGTCAATGAATGCTGCTGAAGGAGGGGTGGGGAGAGTAGGGAAGGGGTCAGGTTGGATAGTACTACTGCTGCTGCTGATTTTTCGTCTCTCGGATTCATTCAAAACACAAACGCAGCACGAAAACCAAAGCAAAAGAGAAAAATCTCACTGTTGTCTGTCAGCAGACGCAACGAAAAAGTAAGCCATATCTACGTCGACGTCGCTGTAGCCGTCGCCGTCGCTGTCGCCGTCATCGTGGAAGGCACTCTCGGCATGGCTTGCATTCTTTCCACAGTTTATCAAAGTCAACAGAGTTGCGCGATAAAGTCAAGGCCTCCTTCCACTGTTGCTGCCAGCTCCCCTCAAATACTTATGCATGCGAGCACTCATCTTGTGTACGCTCTCCATTGCCTTGTTCTATTTGTCAAAGTTGGTCGTGTGCGCGCTGCGCTGCGCTGTCTCCTTCGCTGAGTTAAACTTAATGTCCTAATTATTGTATGATAAAGCGTCCAGCTGGCCATCATGGCGATGGCTGACATGTGCTGTCTCTGTTGCTGTCGCCCATTTGTCTGCGATTTGTGCTGTCGCTGCAGTTCGTCATAACGGGACCATTCCCAGACCGAGCACCTATGGCTCTCTCTGACTCACACTAACGCTGAATGGGCGTCTGTCCCTCTCCCTCTCTTCCGCCTGTCCCTTTGTTTGATTTACTTTTCCATGTGAGAGAAGAGGTGTTGAAGGCTGCAACTGTTCCTCTCTTGGCCACGGGGAACAGGTGCGGCGGGGCAGCATCACCAGCCCATTCTCATGAGTAATTTGCGCACTTTCCGTACATTTGTAGTTATTTTTTTGTTTGTTTCTTGTTTTATTTATGCCACGGACTCCAAAGGCTAATAAAATATGTACAAATAATAAACAAATTGCACGCAAAAATGAGGATTCTTGCTCATTTGAACCGACTCTAGGACTCTAATACCATGTCTCTCTCTGTCTCTCTCTTTTCCGTGATCAGAGCGAACACGCTCGAGCGCGAGATGCGCGATCCGACCAGCATTTGCAATGTGGACTGCCTGCTGGATACGGTATCAGCCCTGGTCAGCGACTGCGACCACGACACCCTCAAGCGGCTGAAAAACATCGAACAGTATGCTGCCAAATGTAAGTCCGAACCGCCGTCCAACAAACAGAGATTCTATAAAGTCCTACTCTATCTGTCCCTCTCCACAGATAAACCCCTGGCGCAGAGGATCAATCAGCTGCGCATGAATGTCGAGGACTTCGACTTCATTAAGCTAATTGGCGCCGGGGCCTTTGGAGAGGTGCAACTGGTGCGGCACAAGTCCTCCAGCCAGGTGTACGCCATGAAGCGGCTGTCCAAATTTGAGATGATGAAGCGCCCGGACTCGGCCTTCTTCTGGGAGGAGCGTCACATTATGGCCCATGCCAACTCCGAGTGGATTGTCCAACTGCATTTTGCATTTCAGGTGAGTGCCCGGAGCATTCCGTATAAGATCCAAGCTAATCTTATGTGATTCCAGGACTCCAAATACCTGTACATGGTGATGGACTTTATGCCCGGCGGTGACATTGTCTCGCTGATGGGGGACTACGATATACCCGAAAAGTGGGCCATTTTCTACACAATGGAGGTGGTGCTGGCCCTGGACACCATTCACAACATGGGCTTTGTGCACCGTGACGTGAAGCCGGACAACATGCTGCTCGACAATTACGGGCATCTGAAGCTCGCCGATTTCGGCACCTGCATGCGCATGGGCGCCAACGGCCAGGTGGTGTCCAGCAATGCGGTCGGCACGCCGGACTACATCAGTCCGGAGGTGCTGCAGTCGCAGGGTGTCGACAATGAGTATGGCCGCGAGTGCGACTGGTGGTCGGTGGGGATCTTCCTCTACGAGATGCTCTTCGGGGAGACGCCCTTCTACGCGGACTCACTGGTGGGCACCTACGGCAAGATCATGGACCACAAGAACTCGCTCAGCTTCCCCCAGGAGGTGGAGATCAGCGAACAGGCCAAGGCCCTGATCCGGGCATTCCTCACAGATCGGACGCAGCGTCTGGGCCGCTACGGCATCGATGATATCAAGGCGCATCCGTTCTTCAGAAACGACACCTGGTCCTTTGACAATATCAGGGAGAGTGTGCCGCCGGTTGTGCCGGAGCTAACCTCGGACGACGATACGCGCAACTTTGAGGACATCGAGAGGGACGAAAAGCCCGAGGAGGTGTTCCCCGTACCGAAGGGCTTCGATGGGAATCACCTGCCCTTCATCGGCTTCACCTACACGGGCGACTACCAGCTCCTGTCCAGCGACACCGTCGACGCCGAGGCCAAGGAGCCGAATTCGGTGAACAGCAACGCCAGCAACAACCATGCCCACGGCCATGGGCACAACCATCGCCATCGTACCTCCAACTCCAACGAGCTGAAGCGGCTCGAGGCACTGCTCGAGAGGGAGCGCGGCCGAGCCGATGCTCTGGAGAAGCAGGACACCAGCCTGCGGCACAAGATCGAGCTGAGCGGCAAGCGTGAGGTCGAACTGCAGCGCATTGCGGCCGAGTACGAGAAGGATCTGGCGCAGCGAAAGAACAACTACAAGGTGGCCATGCAGAAGGTGGAGCAGGAGATCGAGCTGCGCAAGAAGACGGAGGCTCTGCTGGTGGAGACGCAGCGCAATCTGGAGAACGAGCAGAAGACGCGCACACGCGATCTCAACATCAGCGAGAAGGTCGTCTCGCTGGAGAAGCAGCTGCAGGAGATGGAGCACAGCTACAAGAGCGAGACGGAGAACACGCAGAAGCTGAAGAAGCAGAACGCGGAGCTCGGCTTCACACTGAAGACGCAGGAGGAGAAGGTGCGCGACATGGTCGACATGATCGACACACTGCAGAAGCACAAGGAGGAGCTCGGCCAGGAGAATGCCGATCTGCAGGCGCAGGTGGTGCAGGAGAAGAACATGCGCTCCCAGCTGAAGGAGCTGCATAAGGAGACGGAGAACAAGATGCAGACCCTCACCAATGACATTGAGCGCACCTTGGTCCGCGAGCAGAAGGCCAAAGAGGATAACCGCGCGCTGCTGGAGAGGATCAGTGAACTGGAGAAGAGCCATGCAAGTCTCGACTTTGAGCTGAAGGCGGCCCAGGGTCGCTACCAGCAGGAGGTCAAGGCCCACCAAGAGACTGAAAAGTCGCGACTGGTCTCTCGCGAGGAGGCCAATCTGCAGGAGGTCAAGGCCCTGCAGTCCAAGCTGAACGAGGAGAAGTCCGCCCGGATCAAGGCGGACCAGAACTGGCAGGAGAAGGAGCGCCAGCTGAACATGCTCTCCGTGGACTACCGCCAGATCCAGCTGCGGCTGCAGAAGCTGGAGGGCGAGTGCCGCCAGGAGTCGGAGAAGGTGGCCGCACTCCAGTCGCAGCTGGACCAGGAGCACAGCAAACGCAACGCCCTGCTCTCGGAGCTCAGTCTGCTCAGCTCGGATGTGGCGCATCTGCGCTCCCGCGAGAATCAGCTGCAGAAGGAGCTCTCCACGCAGCGCGAGGCCAAGCGGCGCTTCGAGGAGGACCTGTCGCAGCTGAAGGGCACCCACCACGAGGCCCTGGCCAACAATCGGGAGCTGCAGGAGCAGCTGGATGCGGAGCTGTGCTTCTCCCGGCTGTACAAGACGCAGGCCAACGAGAATCGGGAGGAGAGCGCCGAGCGTTTGGCCAAGATCGAGGATCTGGAGGAGGAACGTGTCTCGCTCAAGCACCAAGTGCAAGTGGCCGTCGCTCGGGCCGACTCGGAGGCCCTGGCCCGCTCGATAGCCGAGGAAACGGTGGCCGATCTCGAGAAGGAGAAGACCATCAAGGAGCTGGAACTGAAGGACTTCATCATGAAGCACCGCAACGAGATAAATGCAAAGGAGGCGACGCTCGCCACCCTCAAGGAGGCGGAGACAGAGCTGCACAAGAAGCTCGGCCAGAAGGCCAACGAGTACGAGGATCTCGTCCAGCAGCACAAGAAGCAGCAGGACGAGCTGGGCCAGCTGCGCGCCACCAAGGACGAGGAGATCACCAAGCTGCTGGAGAAATGCAAGACCGAGGTGTTGCTCAAGCAGGTGGCCGTCAACAAGCTGGCCGAGGTGATGAACCGACGCGACTCGGACTTGCAGAGTAAGTCCCCATATCCTCCACAAATATACGATAGCTATTCCATTTCCCTTTTAACCCACAGAGCAAAAGAGCAAGGCCCGGTCCACGGCCGAGCTGCGCAAGAAGGAGAAGGAGATGCGCCGCCTGCAGCAGGAGCTGTCCCAGGAGCGTGACAAATTCAATCAGCTGCTGCTGAAGCACCAGGACCTGCAGCAGCTGTGCGCCGAGGAGCAGCAGCACAAGCAGAAGATGGTCATGGAGATTGACTGCAAGGCCACCGAGATTGAGCATCTCCAGAGCAAGCTGAACGAGACGGCCTCGCTCTCATCCGCCGACAACGATCCCGAGGACAGTCAGGTGAGTGAGATCCTCGTATCCGCACACACACGTATCCTGCCAATCCGACACATACTCACACAAACACAAACTCCGACCACACACGTCTCTTGGGCTTCTCTAGCACTCCTCTCTGCTCTCCCTCACACAGGACTCGGTCTTCGAGGGCTGGCTGAGTGTCCCAAACAAGCAGAACCGTCGGCGCGGCCACGGCTGGAAGCGCCAGTATGTGATTGTCTCCTCGCGCAAGATCATCTTCTACAACTCGGACATCGACAAGCACAACACGACGGACGCTGTGCTCATACTGGATCTGAGGTGAGTTTCACATCCTGTGTGCTTGTGTGTGTGTGTCTGCGCTTGATTTGACTCTTCCGCTTCCGTTCCGCTTTTGCAGCAAGGTATACCACGTGCGCAGCGTCACCCAGGGCGATGTCATACGCGCCGATGCCAAAGAGATTCCGCGCATCTTTCAGCTGCTGTATGCCGGCGAGGGCGCCTCTCATCGTCCGGACGAGCAGAGCCAGCTGGATGTGAGCGTGCTGCATGGCAACAGCAACGAGGAGCGTCCCGGCACCATCATCCACAAGGGTGAGTAAACGTTAACCATATTTGGATCCTTATTTACTTACTGTTTACTTTGTAGGTCATGAATTTGTGCACATCACCTACCACATGCCCACAGCGTGCGAGGTGTGCCCGAAGCCATTGTGGCACATGTTCAAGCCGCCGGCGGCTTACGAATGCAAGAGGTTTGTGCTTACTGAATACTGAATAGGTGCCAGTGGCCTCAACTGATCCGTGTCTATTCGATTGGTGTTTTCAGATGCCGCAACAAGATACACAAGGAGCATGTGGACAAGCATGATCCGCTGGCGCCCTGCAAGCTCAATCATGATCCTCGCTGTGCCCGCGATATGCTGCTGCTGGCCTCCACGCCCGAGGAGCAATCGCTGTGGGTGGCCCGTCTGCTGAAGCGTATCCAAAAGAGTGGATACAAGGCGAATTCGTCAAACAACAACAGCACCGATGGCAGCAAGATATCGCCCAGGTAAAGAGAGCCTGGTGGCCTGATAGTCTGGTAGCCTGATAGCCTGCACCGTGACGTTGCAATCGCCCTCCCCTCCGTTCCGAATAAGGCGAGGCCAGGCCAGAATCCGCTACTAACTGAACTAATATAAGCTTATATACTAATCACTGCCCAAACCCACAGGCTTTTGTGTTTCCCTCTGTGTTTTTGTCGTTAATCTCGAATGGTATTTCTCTATTTTACTCTCTTCCCCCACCCTGTTTCTTGCTCGCTAACCTTCATTATCATCTCTTCATCTCATCATCCGCATCATCATATCTGTATCTGCATCGGAAACACCGCTTCATCCAATTGGCAGCCAATCGACCCGCTCCTCCTACAAGCCGTTTGTTGCGAACGTGCAACGCTCCGCCACGCTACCAGCCAACTCATCGCTGAAATGAGTCCAGCAAAGACCAGGACACAGCCCAGCTGGAGGCAAGAGAGTCTCCAGCGAAATAACACAGCAAGCAGCCAGCAGTCAGCAGCAATCAGAAAGTCGCAGCCTGAAACTAGAACTACACAACGATACTTGAAATTAACGCTTAAACACTATCCAAACACTTGCTAAACAACAGAAACCACACATGTTGGAACAGAACTATGCAGATATATACCATATATTCCCCGAGTACTTTACAATCGAAACTAAATTCAACTTGAAACTAAACTAAACTCTTTGTGTAAAGGCAATTGCTGCTCGTCTAACGCTTCTTTAACCCACAAAACAACAAACAAAACTAAAAGAAAAGTGCAGATAAAAGATGGCAGCAACGTCAGAGCGGGCAGCGGATCAACCATGAACCATAGATATGTCACTTAGATTGTACTATATATTCTTTATAAATATAAATACTATATTGTATGCTGCTATGCTATTCCACTGAACCGCAACCGCAACTGTGGCAACACACTCAGCACAATGGCCAGCCCAGCCCACAATCAGGAGAGAGCTGTACTTAGTTAAGCGAGGATCTGATCTGATCTGATCAGATCGGATCGAAAAGAGGTAGACCTGTCGCAGCTGCTCCTCTTGCGCCATTATACTGGTGCAGAGGGGTGGGGTTCAGCTTCATTTCAATAGATTTTATAACTTGATGCCTTGTAACAATTCTATATATATATTTTTTTTTGTTTTTTATAATTTATTTAGCTGTTGTTGTTGTTGTTGTTGTTGCTGTTGTGCAGCGAATCTGATTGTCCAAACATTGTTCGTAATTGTAAAAAAAGAGAAAGATGCAAAGAATTGTGAACGGAACACATACGATAGACAATAGACAATAGACAATATACAATATACAATATACAATATAGATATAGATTATATACCTAGAGCATATCCTATCCTGTAAGTCAGAGCCCGCTTACAACAACAGAGCAGAGCAGAGCAACCAATCAGCCAATCAAGCATTCATCAATCAATCAAACAATCAATCAAGCTAAGTTCTAGCCCTTTTTACAAAGCTTTAACTTATATTCCATTTAAAGAACAATCTTTTAAAACGTATATATACTAGCATAGACACTATACTATATACTATATACTATATACTATATGTAGATCAGATATGGAGGCGGAACCCTGAAGGATGAACAATCAGTTACTTAAAGCAAATGCAACTTCCCATATATATATATATATATATACATATATAGAGCTTGACATGAATCAATCGAAACGAAACTAAGCTGAAATGCAAAAACGAATCGAATCGAATCAAAACGAAGCGAAAAATTCGCCACAGACTTGTGTGTGTGTGTTTGTGTTTGTGTTTGTGTAAAAGGCTACATCTAAGTATTAAATATCCAATATATTCTAGTTCTTAAGCTAAACAAATTATTTATTTGTATTTCTGTTCGATGGCGCTGCAGCCTTCACTCTCAGCACTCTCCCCTCTCTCTCTCTCTCTCTGTCTCTCTCTGTGCCACCCTGTCACTCGCTCACTCGCTCACTCACTCACTCATTTTATATGGACTCTCCAAATTTGAAATTCCTTTAGAGCTCGACACGTTCCATATTGTCGCCTTAGTTTGTTGCGTGTGTGTGTGTTTTTTTTTGTGTGTGTGTTTGTACAGAGTGAGAGGCGGCAGCGAATTGCATTTAAGAGTAATGGATGGGATAGTGCCCCACGAAAGTTCTGCAGAGGGTTGTGAGGGCTGTGGGCCCATTCGACGAGACCCGACTGCTGAAAGCTGAATGCCGACTGCTCTATGCTCTCCAGTTGTATTTTGCTTAGTCGAAAATGAAGTCGAGCCATTGCTTTCTTTTTAAAAATTGTATTTTATTTGTACTATTATTGTCATGATCCATTCGTATTACGTTTATTTACGTTTATGTTTATGTTTAAATATATACTCTAGCTTAAGGCGCGTCTGCAGTGGCATTTCCCCCGCAGAATCGGCTCAGAAATTGAACTGCAAACGCCATCCCCCCACCACCCACCACACAGCCCCAGCCCAACCCGAAACCCCAACCCAACCCCAGACAAAATAAAGTAATAATGTGTATAAAATCAACATTTGACATTTTTGTTTCTGTTTTTTTTTTTTTTGTGTTTGATTTGCTTTCCATTTGTTTCATTTTTCTTTTGAGTTGAGTTTCCTTTTTCCCCCCAGCAAATCCTTCCAGTCCCCATATCATTACAAAAGTCTGATAGGATCGCAGCGGAGCGCAGCATATAAAACGATGAGACTGTCCCCCGACTACAGGGCCCTAGAAATAGAAGCTGAAACGAAAACAAAAAATTCCTAAGATTGGAATTGGAAACGGAAATGGAATTTCGAATGCATTTAAATGATGGAAGTTCAACAAATCATTCATATATTTTATGTACACATATGTATATCCTATGCACCATAGAAATAAGTTTCAACCAAAGTCTGATTAAATGTGAAATTAAACTGTACTAAAAGTGTTGTACTTCTTGAGGAGGAGTAGGAGGAGAATCTCCTGCTCCGCATCGCATCGCTGGACACATAAAGAGCCACACCGAACCTGAATCCGATTTTGTATTAGCATTCGCATTGGGATTTGCATATGATTTGGTTTACACATGGTCCACGGCTTCATGGATTAGGGCCCCATAATGGGACATGGCGATGCACGAGTATGTAGATTGGTGGCTGGCGTAGCCATTGTCCCACTCGGACCAATGGAAATATTTTTACTTTGTTTTTATTTTATTCATAATTTAACAAGTTTCTTGTTTATGTTGTGACTCTTTATATTTTTGGATCTTTCTGGCTTTCACAGGCAACCGATCATTAAAATGTATCTTCAATCTATAAAGGTTTTTTTTTTTTGGCAGCTGACATTTTGTAGTTCAAGGTAAGTTGGCCAGTCAGCCAGTCGGCCTGTGTTGGAGCCAGGTGTGGAGATGGAGGCCAGCTAATTAGCATGGCTAAACATCCAAGTGCAGGCCACGCCCAGCCCCTGACTTGTGGCCCCATCTGGCTGCAGAACATCTGCAAAAGTTGGAAGATTAATTATCGCATCGCAAGCCAGGCTTTATCACCCATAAACCGTCATCGCCTATCAGCCAGCACCCTCCTGGCCAGCACTCCCCCAACCATCCACAATCCACCTAATCAGTTCAAGGCCGCGACGAACCCACAAAATACATATGCATAAATATTTCTGGCGTTTCTTCTTCTGTTTTTAAAGCTTTTTAATTTGGTGTCATCGTATACTTAGCCGCAGCCCCAGCCTCAGCCACATCGTCATCATATGACGTGGTACCTGGTGATCATCATCGCCTCGGCCCTGCCATGAGATAGGTTATTTAACTTGACACCACAACGCAAGACTGCACACCAAGAAGGATCGCTTTGGGGGGCAATCCCGAAGGTATCCGTGGAGGATATCTCTCCCATCCCATAATGTCTGGAAAACCACGACCAACAGCTATTAGTACACACATGAATCAGTGATAAATTGATCTGTGATCACTAATTTTATTGAAATCTAAACAAAGCTTTAGCAAAACTAATAAACTTAGCAAAAAGATGAATTCCTATAAGTCTGTGTTGTTTTAAATGGAACGAGATCTTTCCATCTAGTATTCCCAAACTGATTTACATATATTCATTTCATTAGTCTAGGATCAATAGATCCTGATTAAGAAATCAGAACTTCTTTTTATCTTTTTAATTTTATTATTAATCTTTAAAAAAGAGAGCTCTTCAGCTACTCGTACTCATCGTGCATACTTACCATCTTCTTTCCTGCATCTTTTTTTTTGATTTAAGTCCAAGAGCTATTAAAAAATCTTCTAGTGAAGACTTACTTGTACACTCAGAGAAAGAGGCGCTGAAATTTTACAATTTACACGTGAGGGGGTGGAAAGTGTTTGAAGTGTTTTATATTTAGATGAAATATGGGCCGTATGAAGAAGTCTTTTTAACAAACTTATGTTTCAATCAAAGGGAATTCTATTTAATTTTACTATGTTTGTATTAGAGTCCTGTCTGAGGACAGGATTCGGTAATCGCTTTTTTCGTTCAGTTAGAATTCGCGTGTCAGCTTTCTCGTTACAGCGAATCACTCGCCCAAAACGGACTGAACGGACTGTATCAGGTCCGAAAATTTCGGTTTATTTCACACGCTCACTCTTCATTTGATTTTCTGGCAGAGGGAAAGAGAAAGCAACACACAAATCAGGTGCCTTTTTGTGTATTTTCTTTCTGCCTGAAGGTCTTGAATTGTGGGTAGTACAAAGAAGGAATCCAAGAGGCATGATTCAATGAATACTGTGGATTCTTGCAGGGTTCTAGCTTGTGTTCAACAAACCGAATATTCAATTCAAATATGGGTGTGCTTGGCAGTTATTCAGGACTTGATGCATTTGACCTTTTCTTCATTGCAGGGACAGGACAATGTCCCTGCCTCATTGCTCCCGAGCTACACTTAACCTTTCTTTTTGTTCATTTTTGTGTTGTTTTTCATCCGATCCCCATTTGCTGCCACAAGATTTACATGCGGGACAGATGGGCCTCTCGCTGCGAAGCTGAGACGAGACGATATCGGGGCTTGGTCATGATTTCGGGATTTACCAGATCTGCTGTGGCTGCGGCTGTGGCAGGTTGTGCCTAAAGCCGAGGCGACGTCAGCCAAAAATCCAAAACAACAATTGGCCTAAAATCAATAAATTAATTAATAAAATATACAAATTGCAAACCTCGCCTGAACCTCACTGCTGCCAGCGCCACAGTCGCTGTCGCAGTCACAGTCGCAGTACTATTTGCTGCCGAGATTGGGTTTCTTTGGTTGGTTTTCGGATTGGATTGGATTGGATTCGGGCAAAACCTGTCATAAGCAAAGCCACCAGCCACCAGCCACCAGCCACCAGCCTGGCAACGATGTCGCCGTGACAAATTGGCTGTGAAGCCAGCCGAAGCATAAGGCCCAAAAAATGAAAAAGAAAACAAAAAAAAAAAACCAGAAGTGCTCCTGCACTCTTTGCATAGTTACTCAGGCCAGACCCAGGCACAGTTCCAGCCCCAGTCCCAGCCATGGCAGCATAGATCCGGGGTGGCAGTGGCGGGTGGCGCAGGCGCTATCGGAGGCGGTGACGGAGACGGAGACGGAGACGGCGGCACAGTTGGTTGGCTAGGGCGGTCTGAACCTGTTGTTGGCCAGGCTGAGCCTCAACTCTGGCTGGCGCAGCAGTCGCTGTTGGCGTCGCTGCCACAAAATATTGGATGGCCGTAGGTTAACTTTGTGCACACGGCATAAGTAACGTTCAGTCTGCCTCTAGAAGTCGATCGTGATCGTGTGGCCCAGTCAGTTCCGCTCAAGCTCGAACCAACTCCAATCTTGTGCCTCTCTGTCTGCCTGTGCCTGTGCCTGTGCCTGACCATCTATCTGTCGTCTGTCGTCTGTCATCTGTCATCTGTCGTCCGTCTTCCGTCGTTCGCTGTACTCCATTTTTAGTCGTCCAATATATTTTTTTCTAGTTTAAGACGTGCGCGCTTATAATTCTTTTTGTTGGTTTCGAATAACTTGGACAAGTTCAATCTTTGTACAAACACACACACACACACACACACAAACCAAGACAAAATGAAGTACTTCAACATGTGAGTGATCCATCAATATACAATATAGTACTACTCTTAGCATCCATAAGTAAATATATATTTATATATTTTTAAGCTTCGACTGTGACTCCAAAACTGCAAGTGACTTTAAAACTTATTTTGTGTAAATCATATGAACATTTTCTACAATACAGTGACAGCTCTAGTGGGCGGATAACCATCGTTGCTGCAGACCCTCCCTCCTTCAAGAAATATGTAGCTTCGACATTTTGCCCGTAGAAATCCTATTGCTTGGCTCCGTTTAATGGTAGAGACTGGGGACTGGCTTGCAACCTTTTTGGGGCACGACTGACTGCCACCTAAAGAGCGACCAAATGCAGGTGTAAGAAACAGACAGACAGACATACGGACGGACAGTCGTGGCTCGACTTATTGCCAATTTGAACTTTAACACGGCACCGAGACGAGACGAGACGATACGATACGATACTGCAACTCAAACTCAAACTCAAACTCAAACTGGAACTGCAATTGAAACTGAAACTGAAACGTTGAAATCGAAGACGAAAATGTCAAAGTCTCATTACGATGATGATGATGATGATGATCATGCGGCCTGATGCTGATGCTGATGAAGTTGTCACGGGATGGCTGACTTGGCTGGCATTTGCCGGCACATAATTCGCACAAAGAAATGGCAAAAGTTAAGTCCCCACAGACGGCAGTCGGCGGCCGTCTCTCTGCCAAAGGCGATGCGATGATGGATGGCAGATCTCAGGGGGGGAATCTCTCAAACGACTCAAACGACACCAGCGGCGTCTCGTCTCAGTTGGAGATGGAATTTGAGCTTGGATTTGAGTGCGAATCAGAGTTGATTACAAGAAAAGTTTCAAGGTCGTCGGCAGTTGAGGCTGCGTTTGCCGTTTACCCGTTTACCGTTGTGTTTTGGTTCTGCTTCTTCTCTATGGTTTTTGCTGCAGTTGGCAACTCTGGCGCGCTGGCACTCAACAAATTAAGAATATTGGATTAATTATCTGACGTTTGTTGTTGTTGCTGGTGGCTGTCTTGTTTTATAAATTAACGGTTGCATTTTTAATGCGAGCTGACAGCCACACACACACACACACACATTCAGACACTGAGCATGCCTGCATCTGCATACACTTATCGATAAATATATGCATGTACATACATATGTATGTGTGTGTTTATGTATGCATGCATATGAAACATATGAGTTAATCGCTGAGTTGTATGCGGGAATTAATCACTCGTGCAGCAGCAACATTGGCTAGACAGAGACAGAGACTGAGACTGAGACAACGAGCAAGCGCCAGGTTGACGCCAAGATCAGGATTTTAGTTTAGTTTCGGTTTCGGTTTCGTTTCATTTTGTTGTCATTTCATTCACGCGAATTATGCAATTTTTGTATTTAAATAAATTATACATGAGGGAGTTGTACGGATTGAGATCATAGC